TAAGAAGTGGTCAGGGGCATGTTTTATATTTGTGTAGTTTACTTGTGAGCAGCAGGAATTTATGCATGGAGCTGCAATAACATAGTTAATCTATGTCATAAAATTCTCATCCTTTGCACTGCCTTTCTGTGTGGCAGAACTTATAAATCGTCATCCTTGTACACTATATATTTACTGTGCTGTATATGCAGATTTAAAAATGTCTGTCATAGAATATATGAATAAAAATTAACTAAGCTCAGAAGAGCTTTCCGAGTTTGTGAAAACACATTCCATAAGAGTATTCAATGTGTGTTTGTAACTTCCCTCGTGCCCGGATTACAAAAAGTGTATTGAGCCAAATGGAATCCAATCTTACTCATCGTAATTGACAGGGTAAAATGCATATATTTGAATGGATCATTACTCAAGGTGATTATCCTTGTAGCAGATTTTACAGTATAAACTGAATTAATACTCACAGTAACAAATTGCTTAATTTTGTTTCTCATTCTTGTGTTTAGCTTGAACTGAGCGACAACAGGATTTCTGGAGGTCTAGATGTATTAGCAGAGAAGCTCCCAAACCTCACACATCTAAACCTCAGTGGAAATAAATTAAAAGATATTAGCACCTTGGAACCTTTGGTAAGTAGTGTATTTCTGTATAATTCTGATAAACATTCTTACCAGACTCTTTTGTCTCCTATATGTTGTGATGTTTCAGTATTATGTAAGTTCAAATAAATGCTTGCCATAAGTGGATATATTTTTGGTAAATTCCAAATCATTGCAGCTTCATTCAAATAAATTATATTGACTATCAAAATGATTGCTGTCCAAGTGGATTTTAAATGTCAAAACAAATCCCTTAAATTATCCCACACACTTTATTATATTAGTTTCTTGATAACTGCTTTCCTTGAGAATAACCACCTCTCATTTCACCAAATAGTTGAGCGGTATACAATTATAAGTTTGGATAATACCCAAATATACGGAAGGTAAGGGTTTGTTTTATTGGTCACTTTTTATGCAAGTGCTTTGTAGCAACTTACTCAGTAACAGGGGAATGGTAACCCCTGACAACTTGGAGCATGCAAATTCTGAATATTTCACTTGGAAGATACCTTACTGTGCTCACTATTCCTGCCCACGCATTTTTTTTGGGGGGGAAAGGAGAGGGGGGGGGGCTAGGGATGGGAGAAGAGAGACTGTGCAGAGTATAACATGTATCGATTACATTAGCTCTCTGTCCATGAAGGCATGTTCTATGTATACAAAGCCTACCGGAAACAAGTTTTGAGAGAAAAGTTGGGGAAATGTGCAAAAATAACAGTCCACATTTGTTGGAAAATTACCATCTGCAGATTTTCCAGCTAGGGAAAAAAGTAATCGGATATCTTCCCAAAATCAAACAGGCAGTATAAAATTTTTACAAAAGGTGCTCTAGTCTTGTGTTCGTAATTTGGATAAAGAATGTTTGTTGAATTTTTTTGTATATATATTTAAATATTGAGACTTAGCCAAAAACAGAATGATTTGACAATCATTATATGGCTTGCTGTTGCTTTCCTGTGTACCCTCTCCCAATTTTCTTATTCCCACCACATTAGCACGATTACTGTACAAGATATACCAGCAAAATGAGTCAATGATTTTGAATAACCTATTTTGACCTTTGTTGACCTGTAAGTCATATTTGGGGGGGGGACCGAATCTGGAGCAATCTTTTCCCTGAATAAACTGAGAAGAGAAGCTGGTTGCTATGGTCAATGGCTCAAGATTGCCTGCTCCAGTTTTTATGAATTCCCCCCAATATTGCAATGCTATGGCATGTTAAAGTATGGCAATGTTCAGGAAAATAGACATGAAGTTACTCACACCTGTTCTGAAAAAAGGGAGACCAATGGTCATTTTTATCCAGGAAGATTTAATGCTTAAATAAACAAAAGTAAAAAATTAGAAAAATATATATCAAACAATATAGCAATAGCACCCATAAATAAAAGTTTTAAACATTTGTAGTTCCATTGAGACTTTGAAATGGTTAATCTCCTATCAAAATGCTTGTTTTAACAATGTGTTTAAAAATGTTTTTGGTCAAATTAAAACTGATCATGCAAACAGAACGTTTTGGGGAATTGTTTTTATATACCATACCAATAAATTGATAACCAGGGAAAGACAAACTGGGGGGAAATGTATCAAAACTGGAGCAGACAAAATCTTAAGCAGTTGCGCATGGTGACCAATCAGCTTCTCTCTTCAGTTTTGTCCGTTAAGATTTGAAAATGAAAGAGATGCTGATTGGTTGCCATGCACAGCTGCCCCAGATTTTGGCTGGTCCAGTTTTGATAAATTCCCATCACGGTGTTTTTGTTTTGCGGTTTGCTTGTTTGTTTTGTTTTTTTCCCTTTTGTAAATAAACTAGCTAACTACCTTCCTCTTGCATATGCTGTGCAGTATATGGCCCTCTTTACACACAAGTATACCTGTTCACAATAAACCAATTTATTAAAATAATTGTCAGAAATTAAACGGTTTCACTTTCATTGTGGCTTTTTTTGTGGAGAGAGATTTTTCAGTACTACAACATTGCCCCCTAGTGAGTAAACTGCTGAAATCTGTTTCTAAAATATGGAGTAGGTACAAGTGTCTCCGAGTCAGTTAGTGAATCTATAACTGTATGGATGAAAGGTAAGGGTACGGAGGATTTCATGAGCCTGTAGTGGCATGAACCAATAGAACTCAAGAAATCTCAGCGCTATCTTCGGAACAGTACGTTATGGTACATTGTCATGCAGAACCTTGCTCAATCTCTCAAAACCTGTATGACAAAGTTTAGGTAGAAGCTGATATTCTTTAACTCCTGAGCTGCATGGCAGTGAAGCTGAACCACTTCATATTTATCATGACTGACATCACTGTCGCAGAGCTAGGATTTTTTTTGCTTCCTCACAATATATTTTAGAATGTTGCATTTATAGGATGCTCTTGGTCATGAGCTCTATTAATTACTGTTATTTTTTTCTGCTCAGATATTCCAAACCCCTTGCTTCTAAGAGTGGTTATGGCAACTGGGCTTTTTATGACCTAGAAAGCTGAGCATAGTGTGTCTTTTTAGCATTTAATGTAATTGCAATTTATATGTTCTGGATGGGATACCATAATACAGGGACTTGACCTTTTTATTTAGCTGGGAAAATATTTGGGATATTGGGTTCTAATTAATGATATATGTGTGTGTATATCTATATCATTTGTTGTATTCACAATAGAAAACCAATCAAATGTTTAAACTGAGAAAATGTATACCGTATATATATGTAGTATATACTGCTAATACAGTGCAGACAATACATATATAATTGCTTAATAAATCCCTTCCCCCCCCAATCTGCCGGTGATCGATCATCACATCATGGCGAGGTAAGTAAGAAGAAACCTGACGCTGACTCGAGTATAAGCTGAGGGGGGGCACTTTTCAGCTCACGGGCATCCAATATGGCATTTCAGCCTTGTCCCTTGTGCACATTGATTTCTCCAGATTCTCTATCTTTTGATGGGCTGAAAATCTCGGCTTATACTCGAGTATATACGGTAATTTTTAAGAAAGAAAAAAAACCACCACGGTGTAGCATCTCTACTTCTTTTAACACTCTGTAAATGTCTGGTAACTGAGGAGACAAGTTGCTGGAGTTTTGTGAGAGGAATGTTGTCCCATTCTTGCCTGATCTAGGATTCTGACTGCTTAACAGTCCTGGGTCGTCTTTGTCGTGTTTTTCGTTTAAGATGCACCAAACATTTTCAATTGGTGAAAGCTCTGGACTGCAGGCTGTTGTCATATATGCCGTATGTGGTTTAGTATTGATCTGCTGAAATATGCAAGGCCTTCCATGAAAAAGACGTCGTCAGGATGGGAGCATATGCTGCTCTAAAACTTGGATATATCATAATTCAGCATTGATAGGGCCTTTCCAGATGTGCAAGCTGCCCATTCGCACTAATGTACCCCCATACCATCAGAGATGCAGGCTTTTGAACTGAGCACGGATTTAAAAAAAAAAGCAGAAGGTCCGTCTCCTCTTTAGTCCCGAGAACGCTGCACCCATGGTTGCCAAAAAGAATGTCAAATTTTGATTCTTCTGACCACAGAACAGTTTTCAACTCTGCGACTGACTGTTTTAATTGAACTTTGACCCAGAGAAGATAGCGGAGTTTCTGGATCATGTTCAGATATGGCTTCTTCTTTGCATCATAGAGCTTTAGGCCTCATTCACAGTACAACGCATATACGCGCGTATTGTACCATATGCAAATAAATGGCTCCATACATATAGCTGCGTATGGAGCCGTATACTTGCGTAGCGTAAACATGCGCAAAAACAGAATCGAACCGAGATGCGTCCGGACAGCGAATTTTATGCGCGTATGCACGCTCATACAGTTTATTAAAATTTCTATTACAAATGATGCATTCTGGGATTGCATATAGTGCACACATATACGCGCGTATATACGCAATACACACTTTTGCTTTGTGTGTGAATGAGGCCTAAACATGCATTTTTGGATGGCATAATGAACTGTGTTCACAAACTGATTTTTGGAAGTATTCCTGAGCCCATGCAGTGATGATCATCACAGAATCATGATGGTTTTTAACCACTTCTTGGCCAGTGCAATTTCTTACTATTTGCACACACATTAAAAAATCTGAATTTTTGGCTAGAAAACCGCTTCAGACCCCCAAACAATAATATATTTTCTGAAAGAGGCCCTGTACAATAAAAAATATGCTAGTTGCAATTTTATATGTACCGTATTTTTCGCTCCATAAGACGCCGTTTTTTTCCTCCCAAAAGGCGGGGGGAAATGTGTGTGCGTCTTATGGAGTGAATCCCTATCGGCCGATGCCCGAGACATGCAGTTTCGGGCGCCGGGCGTGCTTTTTTTGTACATTTAGCCCTGCTAAAGCAGAGCTAAATGTACAGTAGGAACCACAGCTCGTTTAATACAAGTGATCTAATCAGATAACTCGTATTAAAACCGCGATCACCATAGAGCTCCTAGAGCAGACTAAGAACGGGCGTTCTTCGTCTGCTCTGTGTGATCAAATGTTTATCAAAACAGTATTTTTAGGATAAGATACTCTCAAATTAAATTTTGTGCACAGAAACATAAGGTAATACCCAATTTTTTGGTAAACTTTGAAAGACGGGGTCACGTCGGTAAATAGATACCAAAAACATGTCAAGCCTTAAAATTGCGTGCGTCCATGAAAATGGTGCGTCCATGTTTTAAAATGATACCAAGAACATGGCTGAACAAGAGGGCCTGAAGGGCCCGAAGATCACGGGCATCCAATATGGCATTTCAGCCTTGTCCCTTGTGCACATTGATTTCTCCAGATTCTCTGTATCTTTTGATGGTGTTATATACTGCAGATGATTTATATATTTAAAGTCTTTGCAGTTTTACGTTGAACATTCTGTAAATCGACAATTTTTAGACGCAGTTTTTCATAGATTGGTGAACCTTTGCCTATCTTTACGTCTCAGACACCGACTCTCTAAGGGCCTGTTCACACGACGTCCGTTTTGTGTGCTGACCGGATCCGTACGCTGCTGCATTTAAAATGCATCCCAATGTGCGCAGTCGCAGTCCGTTCAGCTTACTGCATGTCACATTTTGTCCGGTCTGGAAACGCACGAAACGTAACGAGAATGGAAACACAACGCAATGCAGCTAAGGGAAAAAAAAAATTGTATTCTTGCTCCACTTATTATGATGTTATCAATGATAGACAGACAGGTTGGGGTAGAGGTAACGACACGAACTGCAAACATTTGGAACATGCCCATTACCTTGCCATGGACATAAGAGTAAAGGGAAAAAAATTATCCGGGTGACCTCGCAAATCCTCATACAAACTCCAGAACTGACCCTTGGAGTCCCGGAGCCTCAAGATTGGGTGTACCCAATAACGACGTCTCCTGCGGGCTCGTTCTCTGCAGATTGCTGTAGCCAGCACAATCAACATGACTGCAAACATGTGATACATGTCTGATCACCAGCTTTACATACACAAAGGAAAGTAGATGTTCCGAGAGGGCGGTAGTGACCTCAGAGGCTGAATCTGCATACTGACAGCCCCTTGATAATAAAAAATGAACTGTCAGCATCCGGACCGAAAACGCATCAATAACGCACTGCATCAGCAGCTCCACATCTGCTGATCAGGACCTGATCTCATGTGAACATGCCCTAAGATGCTTTTTTTTTTACACCCAATCATATTACTGACCTCTTCCCAATTAACCTAATTAGTTGCAAAATGTTCTTCCAGCTCTTCCTTATTAGTACCACTTTGCCAGTTTTTTTGTTGCCCTGTCCTAACTCCGTTTAAACATTTTATATGTTTTTTTCTATTGTGAATAAAAATCTACTTTAATGAGAATTGCAGATCATTGCTTTCTGTATTTGGGTAGATTTTACACAGCATCTCAATTTAATTGGAATTGGGGTTTTATTTCTACTCATTTTTAGCTAGACATTTTAATGCTCTTTTAATATCTAGTATATCTACCTGCTATTGTGCAGGATTTTTTTTTAATCACACAGGCACATCTTTGTGATGGGCTATTTATTTTGTGAAAGAGTAAAGAGTATGTTGGGGTACCTGAAATTAAGAGACTTTTACTTTATTATGCTCAAATAATCTACTTGTTTGCCCCCTTTTTTTTTTTTCTATCCACTCCCTCTATGAAAGTAGTAGCATGAAAACATGCCAAACATAGATTAATATGTACTCTGTAGCAAAACCAAAGTAACTAATTTTCAGAGGTTCTTTATGTAGTCCCTTCCCCCACACATTTTTACTTCAACTAAAATGATCTTGAAATGTAGGTAAATGTAGGCCGTGTGTTAGAATCGTGACCAAATACAAATATTCCTGTCATTTTACAGCAGTCAAGGATGAACTTTAGCCCAGCCGTGTCACTCGCATATGCACAAATATGTTGTTAGACCAAGTTCACAGAATGCAATGTATGGGTGAGGCAGTGCACACAGACCACTCAGTCTTAAAGATTTCTAAGCGTGTTGGCGCTTACAGTTCTGGCATGTATTTGACATCACAGTAGTTTGATATGGTGTAGAAGGTCAAAAGTGCATGTTTTTATAGGTGCATTTTTTGTTTCCCAAAGAATACAGACATTCAACAGGCAAAGAGTAAAATGCACTGATTGTTATAGCATTCAATCAGAATGAATGATTACTCTACTAGAAACTAAAGCTTAGTTACTGGAGTACTACATTCAGGTCACTTGTACTACCTTAAATAAGCTTCAGTGTTATGTAAGCATACATCTGTGTTCTTCATTTCTATTTTAGGGAGAGAGATGTGATGAGAAGTCACATAACTCCAGTGTGTCCCTGTTTTTATCTGCAGTTATGGACTGTCAAAAGGGATATGAACCGTTTACAAAATAAATACATAATTAAAGGTCTGGATAGGATTATGCCTTCATGAAATGTCACTTATTCAAACTGACTAGGCCAGCATTTAATGGGGGACAAATACGTTGCCGAGAAAGAATGGTTAAAAGAAACCCCAACATGCTGTTGCTGACTTGTTTCTGAATATGTCTGTTCACATGTAGGTGCATGCCAGTCATCCTAGCAATTCCCTATAATGCGTTTGCTCACTTCCCGATCTATAGAGCTGACGTGTGACAGTTTCAATGTCATATGTCGGCTCTAACTATGAGAATGTGTAAATCACTTGCCGCATAGTTCTCCTTTAAAGCGACACCACTCTGTGGAAAAGGCACTCTATAGTTGCTCGTTCTCTGACATGATCAGCCTAATGGCTTGGGGTAGGCTCACTTCCCATGCCTTCACTGGCTAGTTTACATCAGTTGTGGTTACTTTAAAATCCGTATGCATAAAATAGTTCCTAGGTTTTTTTTCTGTTGGTTTGAATTCCTAAAACTATAGGTTTTAAATATCTGTGAAAATACATTGGCTGCAAATCTGCCCTATACAGGTTAGATCTTGAACTTCTTAAATAGCCCCCCCCC